GGGAAAGGTTTTGGGGGAAGTATCGTGGAACCACCATGAATCAAACCGTGCGGATTGGACAGCTTGTAAAAAGTTCTTGCAGGTACACACGGGTGATCAATCCGTGCTTCCCACTCCAAGGCATAGCTTCGTTGCACTGAGTTTGCCAAGGAGTGCTCAGTGCCCCTGCATGTGAAAGGTGGTGGAAAACTGTGAAAGAAGTGGCGGTGGAAAACCCTTTGTCCAGGGGTGGACACACACACACGAATATAAGACAGTTGAGCTGAGTCAGTCTACTATTTTTTAAATGTTATATTTCTTATTGACGTCTAATTGTCTAATGTTGTAAAATATCGTTGCTTCTCTTTGCTCGGACCTCCTTTTTTCGAACACGCAGAAGCGCCGATCCTTGCCTGGCAGCGAAGCACTCAGTGTCAACAAGGACCTTGGTCGGTTTGGTTTCACCGAGAGCATTGCACTGAGGAGATGCCAAAGTGACCAGTGTGGAACAAAAGAACAGAGATCGAGGTGGAAAAGGTGCAGGAAAGACAGATGGAAAAGGCGCATGGTCATCCAAGTTCTCTTTGCAGCGACCGAGAGCTGTCCTCAGTCTCAGATGTGTACGATATTGTACGATTATTGATTGAAGCTTGACTTCAGTCATTCTTGGCTTTTTACCACGTCTAGGATCCACGTCTTTTGAGCCTTCCAATGTTCCCCTGGCGTCCGAGCTTGGCGCCGGTCGCGGCTGGTCGAGCTCGCGCGTTCTCGGCGCGCCAGGCCGAGATGCCAAGCGCAGCGCCGCCTTGCAGGCGACGACGGCGTTGGACGACGATGGGACTCAATGCCACCGTGGGAGGCAGTGAGATCCGCCCCCGAATCCCTGTCTTCAAAGCCAGTATGGAGCTTGGGCCTGGAAGACACGGAGCAGCCAGTGAATGTTCTTCTTTGTGGTTGCAAGTGTGTTTTTAAAAAAGAGACGGCCTGGTTTCATCAGCATGCCTTCCACTGCCGTATACCGTATACATCCGTATACCATGCCTTACCGACTGTGCAACTGTTTTGATTACATTCTTGGCGCACGATCAGATCCGGGTGTTCATTCGGGTTTACGGTCCGACTGTGCGCTGTGCTAGACGCTTAAAAGCGTCTTCGGTTTGGGGTGCAAGACTCGCTGTTCGGAGTCACTCTAGGCCTCCGCGCTGCGCTCGTTGCTGGCAGACCTGGGCACTGCCTGATCGGGGCTGAGCATCGGTGAAGAGACTGATAGAAGCATCGAGAGACGGTCTAAGAGAGATGCTTCGTTCGCCTGAAGTGATGGTGCCGGAGGTGCCTGGCTCGAATCAAAACCATTCCAATCGATGTCAGGACACAGTGATAGTAATTAATTATGTGGATTATGTGGATCGATGTATGTGGTATACTTACAAATCGTGTCGTATCAAATCGTCATGATATATGTCATATGTCATATAATCCATTGATATCCATTGTAATTTAATCCTCAAGCTTGATCACTTATAGTATACAGCCTATGACATGTGGTTTGTGGGAAGATCATCCGTTTGGGCAGTTTTTCCGTTGGCCAAACGGCCCAGGCAAGGGCTGCACCGAAAAAGGGGATTTGGTCGAAAGGCTGTCGGCCACCGAGGACGTCGCTGCAGCGCGGCTGGACCAGCGTTTTCGGTGCAGAAACCTTTCGAATAGTTTGTTGCACTAAGGCTCGATGTGGCAGGTGTGCGGCAAGAACTGTAAAAAGATGGTTTCTTCTGATGTGTGTGGCTTCGCACACAACACCTTATTTGGATGAATTGTTGTTTTCAACTCGAGATGAGGAACGGAGTTTGTTCCTTTTCTTTACCTCTGTTTTCTTTTCACCTAAGGTGTCCTAAATTCCGCGGGTCAGTGTGCGAAATCGCATGCTTTTCATGACGTCATCGTGACTCTGACAACGCGGGTGCCACACATGGATGCAACCGACTCATCTCTACACGCGTGGCTCGAAGGCGTCACAAAACAGATCAGTCGGTAAACTCACATGGTGTCCGACGTCCAGTATAAAATGTAACTGCAGTACACTTCTCTGTTCCTGAACAAGGTTCTACAAAAAGAGACATCGATCTACATGCTTGGCCACAGTTGCAGCGCAGCGCCTCCTGCGCGCCCAGCGCGCCTCCTTCCACCGATCCGCTGGGTCCGCTCTCTCGATGGCATCGAGGCCCGTGGGACGGCCTTTTCGTGTTTTCTGAATCGAAAGGCTAAACCCATCTAAAGCCTAAGATGATGTCTTCCCCACATGGAGATGGAAAACCCTTCTGATAGGTCCAGGGTGTTTGATGTTAAAACTGACAGTCGACAGTGATTTTTGAGACAGATGGAGACAGAACGGCCAGACCGGGAAGAGGACATCATAAACAAATAGGGTTTTGTTTGGCGCGAGTCTCCCTCTTCTGAGACACACCCCTACATTGAACATCAACATTTGCTCCAGCAGCTGGTGGAGTAATGTGGCTTCATGCTCGCTTCAGGGCACTTGAGAAGGTCCCAAAGGATGCCAAGAAGAAACTGTTCTTCACCTCCACCCAGGAGAAGAAGCGGTTGACGGACTTTACTTAGTTTGAGCATAGGTGACACCTTGATTTGGTTGACCATGCTTTAGATTTGGTCCAAAAGGTTGATTCATACAGCTTGCCTCAGCCTGCCATCGGCTGGCTGAGCCAAGTTCGAGACGTCCGACGTCTTCGCCTCGAGGAAGCCCACGATGGCCGACCTGTCTCGGCGCCGGGGGAGAATTTCCACAGCCTCAGAGAGACGACCTTTGGAGAAGACATGGTGGGTCCGGCACGGAGGTTGGAGGCGTCCTGCACGGAGAGGATGTTCAGATGAACAAAATACAGTGGGCCACAGGTCTCAGGCCGCGTCCCCTATTTCCTGTGTCCGGGTGTTGTCCGTCCCTTCTAGTGCTCTTCTTCTCCTCCAGTTGTCCTGGCTGCGCTCGCAAACCCTGTGTCCTCCTCCATGTGATGGTGTGCTCCTGCTGTCCTGCTTCTTCCTCTTGTCTTCTCGTCTGCCTGCTGGCTGCCGCGCTGCTTCTCCCTGTGTCTTCTGCTTCCTCTTTTCTTCCTGATGTCCTTTCGCCGCGGCGCCTTCTCGTGTCGTCCTGCTGTCCTTGGCGCCTTCTCTTTTCGTGTGGCTATGAATGCAACAGTGATGCAGCGTTTGATATCATCCTCGGATTTTCTCATGACGTATCATATATATATATATTTGTAGTAATTATCATTATCCCTTCGTGTTTGCATATGACATGTGACCTCGGGAAGCAGAAACTATTGTTTTCTATCATGTCCTTTTCTCTACATGCCATTCCCAATACAGACGTTATCAGACCGTTATCACCAATATTGGCCAACAAAAGAACATTGACACTGTTTGGGGTCTATGCTGGCATAATTTGTTTAGACTAATTAGGAAATGATTGAGTAGACTTTGGTAGGCTGATACGCCATTGATGTCCAGTCTTGTGTTTTTGCCAGATATGTGTGTTTTCTTTTGGGAACTGTACGAGATGTTCGATCCAAGCCCAGGAAACATGTGATGGAAAGGGCATCTTCGGCCCCAGCAGGAGACCTGCTACTAGTGGAGAACCTGTCCAGTCACCTGACCTGCTTGGGGGATTGGACACCCCACTGAGATAGGTGTAACAGGCGGAAAAGGGTGAACACCTGTTTGTTGGAACAGGGAAACTCTGAGGTCTTCATTCGTTGAGTCGCGTCGTGGCAAGCTGCGCTGCGATGCGTAGAAGCTACGACCATCGAAGCACGAACCGACCACGGACCACAGGAGAGAAGTGGGGCACATCGTGAGCCTGGCAGCTTCGGTCAATGTGGGGTCGTTTGGTGGTGCCCACCGGTCAGGTACAACAGTGCGTTTGGCCAAGAGCCTGTCTTTGTGGATCTGGAGGCGCCGGCGGAGGAAGACTGATATCAGATGATATCCGTCTCGTTGGTAGCAGTTCATGGTCAATAGACGGGATATTGGCTATGGGCCATGGGGGGAACCCCCAAAACCACCTGCTCAGAACTGACCTGGTTCATGGTCACTGGAGCTGAACCTTTTTCCTCTTCGATCAGACCTGGGTCACCTGGGTCGTAGATCGATCTCGTCGAAGGTGAACCGATGCCTGGCGGAGTTGTCCAAATCGGGCAAGGCTTATGTGAAGGCGCGAACGCTCCGCGTCACGTGCAGCGAACGCGGCGCGTCGCGGTGCCGATCGACGTCACGTGCGCTGTGACGTACCGGCCCCGCCGAGGCACCGCATGTGGGTACATCGCCGCGAGCCGAGGGGGCAGAGTCGACCGGATGGTATGGGTCGGTATGTATTCATAATAGGGAGACCTGGAATGACCTGGAAGAGGCAATAGACCCCTTGAAGAAGAGGACAGTCCGACCAGTTTACCCAGTCTTACCGGGCCAGTGGGTCTCCCTATTCAAATGCACACCGACGGCATATACTGACGTCCCTTATACCAGGAGTCACATGTCGGGGTGGTTTTTGGTCACCTGAGTGGATAATGGGCATTCCGAAATTCTTATCCTCCAATAGGCACCCCTTTGGAACTACTGGTATAAACATTTGTTCACATCCATTGAATAATCCAAGAATTTCAATGCAAGCGGATGAATTTCAGTCTCGGAACCATGGTTTTCAGCATGTTTCTAGGCACTGCGGTGAAATACTGTCCATGCTGTTCATGGGCGTCACTTGAGCGGGATAGCATGCCCGACATGAAAGTCCAGCATCTCAAGACTATGTTTGACATAGTTCACTTGGTGATGGACTGATGTGGCAGATTGCGGCATGCTGTATCAGGTCATATTCCACAGCGTTCGGCTGGAAAGGCGATAGTGATGCTTTGGACCAATTGCCTGTACTTCGAAATCCGTAGGGAACGTCCTTCAAGTAGCCCTTGAGAGTATGCTCAAATCTGCGCGGGAAAGCGACTTGCTAGAGGACTCTGCTACAGGAAACATCTCAGTCTCTGAACCCAAACCCCGAACCATCGGAGACTCCGAAATCTGTGCGCAGGTGGCCCGAAACCACCCAACGCCAAAGTGCCCGACTGCGGGCTCAAGCCTTAGCGCTGTGGAATTGACGAAGAACGGCGCAAGAAATGAGAAGACGGTGGCGACTTGTTTTGATCGAACCTCCCACGGGGTTCTGGATTGTGCTGGCAAAACCGTTTGTCCCACAAAACCAGCCAGTCCCATTATTCCGAATTACAGTAAATGAACAGCAAGATAGGAGTGTGCGGAGTATCCGTGTATGACAGACACTGACGTGGACTACGGTGGATGAACATGGAAACAACATACGACTGTCGTTCTCGATTGTGCGACCACGACCTCCCCGGGATCCATGACCTGCACCCTTTGCGGCGCGACCATGCGCGACCTCGGCGATGTGCACAGTGCAACGTGAACATCTCGCCGTATCTGAGGGTGCGGCAAGCCTTGAGATTGAGCCTCAGAGGGTTTCCTTTCATGCCGGAGATTCAGCAGGCCAAGAGAAAACATATGAGCAAATCGGATGCAGAAACGCAGATAGATAGAGGGAGACTCCTGATTCCAACATCATACATCCACTTGCTTTTTGCTCGGAAATTCGAGGTTCTGGCGTTTCAGGCCAGCTGATTTCGCAGGCAGGCTACACCTACACTGCCGGATGCTCTGAGAATGCTTCAAGCTTTTGGTGATGTCCTGTATTTAAGCGCCAAACAAATCACATACATAGTCTTCGGCCACACCATCCACGACACCATGCTGACATATTGGAGCTGATTATAGAGCCAGCAGTCACAAAGCGGTGGTGTTTAGTGAGTGGAGTAGCTGGGCACCCCTAACCTCCATTAAGCACTCCTTTGTGACTGGAGGGTAGACCCCACTTCAGCTTCTGGAATTGACCGTCGCAGGGGGCCCCCCTCCAAAGACAGTCCAACTGGACTGTCTTCCACGACTCCGGCGCGGCCATGCGCAGACCGCTTTGAGGTTCGGCCGAATCAGCCTGTACCAGAGAAATTCATTCCAGTGGATCAGCTCGGAGCGCGGAGCCCGGACGACCGGGCGACCGAGCGGCGAATGTAGATGATGGTGGATGATGGTGGATGACGCCCCACCGGTCTGAAATGGATTCCAAGAGATCGTCTTTTTGACACAGAAACGATGCAGACCTCTTACCATCAAAATCACGGACCATTCCCACGCAAGCTGGCCAGTAGACCTGCTTGACACGATTCGCTCTTCAGGTCCCCAAAGGTCCTGAAAGGCCCGCAAAGCTCCACGTTTTTTGGGCACGCTCGACTCGCTTCTCTCTTCATATACATCGCATCGCTGTCAAGCTGTCACTCCAGTAGAACTCCCAGGTGCTGTCCACCAGTTATGATTTCCTGCAGTCCTCCTACGTCAACAGCTTCCAGTCCTCGACTCGTCCCGGGCGGAACCGGCCCCGTGCCCTTCGGCGGTCGAAGAGCGCCGCCCTCAGCAGCGGGGTGGGACGGGGTCGGGTGAACGAAGAAAGAAAGACCAATCTATAAGAGTCTATAGAAGGAAAAAAGGTCTATAGAATTCTATAATAGTGGCAAACTATAAGACCTTTTGGAACCTTTTAGAGTCTGTGTTTTGACAAAAGCATCGAGTTGTCGTTTTTGTTTGAACCGTTTCTTTGTGAAGACGAAAGACAAAAGCACCGCTGTGTTGACTCTCATCGACGTGTTGTCTCTCATCGACGGCTTTGGACGTGGCTCCTCAGGTGAACTGGCCACTCCGCTGTCAATGACCTCGACTTACCGCCTCTCCTTTACCCGAGGGGTGTGAGGAGAACGCACATTGCGACCAGGTGCGTTCAGTGTTTTGTTTTTGTATTTTTCTGCGGTAGGTACTGGTTGATGTGTGTTTAGATGTGTTTTAGTACATTGGACAATTTTGGGGCAGTCGACCTCTGAAAGAATGTCGACTCTGATGTAATTATTATATTGCAGCAATGACCTCAAGCAGTTCTTACAAAGCAGAATGTTTGCACCCAGAAGGAACGGATCAACTGCTTGAAGTTGTTGAAGCTTGAGGTATTCCGAAGGAAACCTCGTCTCTTTTCAAAGCATCATCAGAGAGTGAAACAGGTAAAGGAGTCTCGACATCAGCAATGCGGATGTGTCATTGTTGGGCGTGACAGATGTGTCATTGCCTCTTTGAGGATTTCTCGCCTTTTCTATACATTCCGGTATCACCATATTAATTATCCGAGTCCTCCTTTCTGATGTGAAGCCATTTGGCCCAGACAATTCGTTTGAGAAAAACCAAAGGAAAAACGCCTTGCCAACAGTATGGCCCAGACGGAAGATCTCACATGCACTCACATGCCAAGCTTTTTTTGCCACTGACATCAGCTCTCACCACCGGATTTCTCACTCAGAAAGTATACAGAATGCAACCCTTTCACACCCTGGGTTTGGATCCGAGCGTGACGCTCCGCCATGGATGCCACTCAAGCCAAGCGCTTCGGTTGCTCCGTCACGGCCGGACTTGTGGCAGGTGCGGTCGCAACACGCGCTTTTTTTAGCCAGGGCGGTTGGGCTCCAGTTAAGGTCACACCTACAATATGATTCAGATAGTGAAGAGAGACTTCGCTTTATGTCCTGATCCCAACATGCCTAGAGTCCGGCTAGAGAAAACGAAAGAAACTCTCTTCCCCTTGAAGCATCCATACAATTTGCCTACCTCATTTGCGGTCACGTCCGGTGAACACTTCTCGGAATAGCAGGTTTCATCACCAATCCCACCGAGACCATCAGAGTCAGATGGCAGGCAGGGAATGGCACGCTCCGCGAACTGCTGCTCCCACTTGGTGGTCTACTGGCCTCCAACCTAATAGGGATGGCCTCCAACTTAGTAGCGATGGCCACCAACCTACCAGCCATGGCCTCCAACCTACTAGCGATGGCCTCCAACCTACTAGCAATGGCCTCCAACCTACCAGCGATGGCCTCCAACCTACTAGCGATGGCCTCCAACCTACTAGCGATGGCCTCCAACCTAGTAGCGATGGCCTCCAACCTACCAGCGATGGCCTCCAACCTA